AAATTAGTTCATATACCCATTATTTCAACTTATAACAAATCCCCAATTCAATTCAATAGAAAGAACATATACGAGTTTCCCGATTAAGAATACTCAATTTCAATATCACTGGACCCAAAAAGAATTCATACAATCAAGCATATCACCACCATATAATTAAACCACCATAAGATACAAAAATTCCAAATTTTCCAACCAGCATCAAACCCAACTAAAATTTCCGCGACGTACAAGTTCTTATCAACCCAAACCATAATCTTGATACATCATTTCATTAATGAGATAAGAATAAAGACAATAATAGAATCCAAACATAATCAGTTTAGCTCCTCATACCTTGATCCGAAATTCTTACGGCAACCTCTCAACTCACCCATTTATGCAATAAATCTCTACCCTTAGCAGCCTCCAATCTTCATTGCTCACGGTTCTAGGGTTTGGTCCGAGGAAGAGGAAAAACCAAATTTGAAGAAGAGAAAGAACTGGGTCAAAAAGAGCTTTTGATTCTAAAAGAAGAAAAGAGAGGAAAATAATTGAAGAAGAAGAATGAGGATGGGTGAGTTTTTTTTTTTTTTTTGCTTCTCTGATCTTCTCCCCTCCCTCTTTGAAAACGCTCCCCCGACCCCTTTTTCTTACCGCAGACCCCCTTTATTTAATTATTATATATATATATATATTTTACGCATAAAAAAAATCAAAAAGAAAATATGTATGTAGAAATAACCCACTTTTGTTCTCATGAGGTTCGAAGATGCGTCCATCAAGTCATGGATACACAATCAACACATATACTACTAGCCCAACCCTATAATAAATATATAAAGTAAGTTTAATGTTTGTAGGTCTAATATTTTTTTACTAGAATCTCAAACAGGTCTCTTTCTTTTTCGACGTCTCAATTGAGTTTTTATTTTATAAAAATTGCAACAATTAGACTCCTACTGTTAAATTGGGTATAACGGCGTTAGTGTATGGTTGACGTGGCATGCTCATCTTTATTTTTAAATGACGTGGAGTAACATATTTAATGTATGTGATTCTGATGTGTTTTTTATTTTTTTTTTAAATAAAAGAAATTTGTAAATGAAGTGCAATCTACTTAGTATTGGACAATTGGTAGAGAAAGGGTATAATCATGGGGAATCACGACCGAGTGGAACTGCTGGACATAAATAAGAGGTTGATCTTGACAAGCAAGATCTCTAAGAACCGAACGTTCCAAGTCAGCCTAGATGCAGTACCAAATCTTCGATGTCTGACTACCGTGAAGGATGAAGAAAGCTGGAAGTGGCACCTGCGGTTCAGTCACCTGAACTTCAAGGATCTTCAGCAACTTGGGGAGAAGGATTTGGTGATAGGTATACCGAGCGTCTCTATTCCTGACAATGCTTGTGAAATCATGTTTAACAGGAAAACATACCCGAAGACCATTTCAGTCACAGGTGCAGATGAGATTAAAAGGATGCCTAGAAGTGGTGCATTCGGACATCTGTGGACCGTTCGGTGTGCCCTCATTAGCCAGAAACAAGTACTTTCTCACATTTGTTGATGAATACAGTAGGATGCTATGTGTATACATCATCAAGATGAAGAATGAAGCTTTAAAAGTGTTCAAGAAATTTAAGACCTGTGTAGAAAGAGAAAGTGGAAAGCAGATAAAGATCCTCATAATTGGTGGAGGAGGAGAATACATTTCACATGCATTCGAGGAGTACTGCCAAAATCACATAATTGCACATGAGGTGACAGCGTCGTACACCCCTAAACATAATGGACTAGCGGAAAGAAGAAACCGAACGGTAATGAACATGGTCAAGTGTCTCATAAAGGAGAAGAGATTGCCACAAAGCTTTCTGGGCAGGGGCCGTCTCGACAACTGTTCACATTCTCAATAGATGTCCTACTAGAAGGCTTCAAGGCAAGGTACCACTAGAGGCATGATCAGATAATAAACCCTCGGTTCATTATTTTAAAGTGTTTGGTTATCTTGCATTTAGTCATGTTGCAGATCAAAAACGATCGAAACTACAAGATAAAGGCGAAGCTATGATTTTTGTTGGATATCACTCAACTGGCGCATATAAGCTCTACAACCCGATCATAGAAAAGATGGTGCTGAGCAGAGATGTGATCGTGCTTGAAGATGAACATGGGACTGGGATCACAAACGAACCAGCCTGAAAAAATTGATAGGAGAATTGTTGACCGAACGACAGAGGCATTCTGAACCGAACAAAGGAGACTTGTCAACCGAATGGCAGAGGTGTTGTGAACCGAACGGTCGAGATCCTATTCACCGAACAGCAGAAGCACTCGAGAATTCTGATGATGAAATCATATATACCAATAGGGCAATGTCGATTCAGCAACAACTCAAAGGCCACGTAGACAAACAGGTATACCTCCAAGGTTTTCAGATTATGAGATATATTTTGATGCAGGTATTAATGATGAGGGAGATCTTGTTCACATTGCGTTGATGGCCGAGGCAGAACTAGTGAATGAGGATGAGGCTCTACAGCAACCGGTTTGGAAGAATGCTATGATAAAATAACTCAGATCCATTGAAAAGAATGAAACGTGGAAACTGGTTGATCTTCAAGCTGGAAAACACTACATTGGGGTAAAGTGGATTTTTAAGAGGAAGTTGAATCCGGATGACACAATCTCAAAACACAAAACGAGACTGGTGGCAAAAGGGATAGTGGGATCACTGCATTTTCTATGCAACAGCCGACCGGATTTGATGTTCAGCATTGGGATAATCAGCAGGTTCATGAGTCAACCAAAGAAGAGCCACATGCTTGCTGTCAAACAAATTTTGAGGTATATCAAAGGAACAACTGATCGTGGAATTCTGTTTCGAGCCGAGAGATATAAAGATGAATTGAAGCTCATGGGTTACGCTGACTCAGACTATGGAGGAGATCCAGTGGAAAGGAAGAGTATGTTCGGGTACATTTTCTTCATCAATGAAGCACCCATCTCATGGTGCTCCAAAAAGCAGTCGGTCGTTGCCTTATCAAGCTGTGAAGCCGAGTACATAGCAGGATGTTATGCCGCATGCTAAGGAATATGGCTTATGGAACTATTAAGGGAACTAAAGTTACTCAGGGAGAGGCCAGTGCAACTGAGAATGGATAATACATCTGCCATAAACTTAGCAAGAAACCCTGTAAGTCATTGCAGGAGCAAACACATCGAAGTCAAGTATCACNGTAGCATCTTGATTTAACAAAATTAATGATAACAAGACTAAAACATAATTATGTAACTTATGATAAATAACTTATGAAATCTAAATTAATTAACACATATCAAAACACATTGGGTTCAGGTTATCAAACAGATTGTAGATAAATAATTACTGTTACTCTTAGATTTAATAAATTAAAATAACCTAATCTAGTTCAATAAGCATGTATCAGATAATATAATTAGTCATTCTAATCAACATACTACAAATCAGATTTGTAATCACTTCCAGCCAACCTATTTCTAATTTTCAACCATACTTTAGTCCAAACAGCAATTAATTTTCTGTAACATTTTTATACCCAAACAACAATAGTTTTCAGCAAAGTTTTATTCTGAAACAACAGTCTAAGCAGAATTTTGAAACAACATACATAGTAAACCACAACCAGAAAAATTTCAAGATTTATGCATACAGCAAAGAAAACAATATATAAACAAAATCTATAGCAGCTAACAGGAAGTCTTCGTGACAGCAAACAATAAGGTTTATATGCCAAAGCTTCATCTATACAACCCCTTGCTCTACCGGTTCATACTATATCCAATTATTTAATCATTAAAAAAAATTACGGTTCATCAATTATCTAACATATCCAGAGTTCAATTCACTGTTCTCATTTAATCAAAGCTACATTAACTAATATAATATTCTAGCAATCCAAGTTCTTTTCTTCCAAACTAATTTGTCATACTTGGCTCTTTACTAATAATTTTAAATCCATATATTGATCTTTATAATTTTTAACCGAACAGTACGTGAAAACATAACATTTCTATTCCTTAACTTATACAAATTTAATTTATAAAATAAAGACAATTCATTCACAACTTTTAAATTCTCGTCCCAATATTACTTATTTTCTTTCCTGATGTTTTTCACAGATTAAAATGAAACACTCTTCACCAATCAAATATCAATCATTCTTTACCTTAACCCATTTTCTGATTTTTGTTTTTATATTTATTTTTAGGTCTTGATTCCACGTAGTTCAAACAGTACCCATTTACACTACACCTAGATTATCCCTATATTTTTCTTTCCCACTCAATTATTCATTACTACCCAAATTCCAACTGCATCAAACTTACTCCCCTGTTTTCATTCGAATGTAATATCATACACGTTTTCCCTTTTCCAAATTATGACAAGATTATTTCCAGTTCAATAACAATTATTCAAAAAGAAAGCATACTCCCATGTCCCCCTCTAATTCACACCTTATCTTTTGCAGACCACAAACACAGTTTTAATTCAAACATAAATATCCCACTTTATCCCTTTTAAATTAGTTCATATACCCATTATTTCAACTTATAACAAATCCCCAATTCAATTCAATAGAAAGAACATATACGAGTTTCCCGATTAAGAATACTCAATTTCAATATCACTGGACCCAAAAAGAATTCATACAATCAAGCATATCACCACCATATAATTAAACCACCATAAGATACAAAAATTCCAAATTTTCCAACCAGCATCAAACCCAACTAAAATTTCCGCGACGTACAAGTTCTTATCAACCCAAACCATAATCTTGATACATCATTTCATTAATGAGATAAGAATAAAGACAATAATAGAATCCAAACATAATCAGTTTAGCTCCTCATACCTTGATCCGAAATTCTTACGGCAACCTCTCAACTCACCCATTTATGCAATAAATCTCTACCCTTAGCAGCCTCCAATCTTCATTGCTCACGGTTCTAGGGTTTGGTCCGAGGAAGAGGAAAAACCAAATTTGAAGAAGAGAAAGAACTGGGTCAAAAAGAGCTTTTGATTCTAAAAGAAGAAAAGAGAGGAAAATAATTGAAGAAGAAGAATGAGGATGGGTGAGTTTTTTTTTTTTTTTTGCTTCTCTGATCTTCTCCCCTCCCTCTTTGAAAACGCTCCCCCGACCCCTTTTTCTTACCGCAGACCCCCTTTATTTAATTATTATATATATATATATATTTTACGCATAAAAAAAATCAAAAAGAAAATATGTATGTAGAAATAACCCACTTTTGTTCTCATGAGGTTCGAAGATGCGTCCATCAAGTCATGGATACACAATCAACACATATACTACTAGCCCAACCCTATAATAAATATATAAAGTAAGTTTAATGTTTGTAGGTCTAATATTTTTTTACTAGAATCTCAAACAGGTCTCTTTCTTTTTCGACGTCTCAATTGAGTTTTTATTTTATAAAAATTGCAACAATTAGACTCCTACTGTTAAATTGGGTATAACGGCGTTAGTGTATGGTTGACGTGGCATGCTCATCTTTATTTTTAAATGACGTGGAGTAACATATTTAATGTATGTGATTCTGATGTGTTTTTTATTTTTTTTTTAAATAAAAGAAATTTGTAAATGAAGTGCAATCTACTTAGTATTGGACAATTGGTAGAGAAAGGGTATAATCATGGGGAATCACGACCGAGTGGAACTGCTGGACATAAATAAGAGGTTGATCTTGACAAGCAAGATCTCTAAGAACCGAACGTTCCAAGTCAGCCTAGATGCAGTACCAAATCTTCGATGTCTGACTACCGTGAAGGATGAAGAAAGCTGGAAGTGGCACCTGCGGTTCAGTCACCTGAACTTCAAGGATCTTCAGCAACTTGGGGAGAAGGATTTGGTGATAGGTATACCGAGCGTCTCTATTCCTGACAATGCTTGTGAAATCATGTTTAACAGGAAAACATACCCGAAGACCATTTCAGTCACAGGTGCAGATGAGATTAAAAGGATGCCTAGAAGTGGTGCATTCGGACATCTGTGGACCGTTCGGTGTGCCCTCATTAGCCAGAAACAAGTACTTTCTCACATTTGTTGATGAATACAGTAGGATGCTATGTGTATACATCATCAAGATGAAGAATGAAGCTTTAAAAGTGTTCAAGAAATTTAAGACCTGTGTAGAAAGAGAAAGTGGAAAGCAGATAAAGATCCTCATAATTGGTGGAGGAGGAGAATACATTTCACATGCATTCGAGGAGTACTGCCAAAATCACATAATTGCACATGAGGTGACAGCGTCGTACACCCCTAAACATAATGGACTAGCGGAAAGAAGAAACCGAACGGTAATGAACATGGTCAAGTGTCTCATAAAGGAGAAGAGATTGCCACAAAGCTTTCTGGGCAGGGGCCGTCTCGACAACTGTTCACATTCTCAATAGATGTCCTACTAGAAGGCTTCAAGGCAAGGTACCACTAGAGGCATGATCAGATAATAAACCCTCGGTTCATTATTTTAAAGTGTTTGGTTATCTTGCATTTAGTCATGTTGCAGATCAAAAACGATCGAAACTACAAGATAAAGGCGAAGCTATGATTTTTGTTGGATATCACTCAACTGGCGCATATAAGCTCTACAACCCGATCATAGAAAAGATGGTGCTGAGCAGAGATGTGATCGTGCTTGAAGATGAACATGGGACTGGGATCACAAACGAACCAGCCTGAAAAAATTGATAGGAGAATTGTTGACCGAACGACAGAGGCATTCTGAACCGAACAAAGGAGACTTGTCAACCGAATGGCAGAGGTGTTGTGAACCGAACGGTCGAGATCCTATTCACCGAACAGCAGAAGCACTCGAGAATTCTGATGATGAAATCATATATACCAATAGGGCAATGTCGATTCAGCAACAACTCAAAGGCCACGTAGACAAACAGGTATACCTCCAAGGTTTTCAGATTATGAGATATATTTTGATGCAGGTATTAATGATGAGGGAGATCTTGTTCACATTGCGTTGATGGCCGAGGCAGAACTAGTGAATGAGGATGAGGCTCTACAGCAACCGGTTTGGAAGAATGCTATGATAAAATAACTCAGATCCATTGAAAAGAATGAAACGTGGAAACTGGTTGATCTTCAAGCTGGAAAACACTACATTGGGGTAAAGTGGATTTTTAAGAGGAAGTTGAATCCGGATGACACAATCTCAAAACACAAAACGAGACTGGTGGCAAAAGGGATAGTGGGATCACTGCATTTTCTATGCAACAGCCGACCGGATTTGATGTTCAGCATTGGGATAATCAGCAGGTTCATGAGTCAACCAAAGAAGAGCCACATGCTTGCTGTCAAACAAATTTTGAGGTATATCAAAGGAACAACTGATCGTGGAATTCTGTTTCGAGCCGAGAGATATAAAGATGAATTGAAGCTCATGGGTTACGCTGACTCAGACTATGGAGGAGATCCAGTGGAAAGGAAGAGTATGTTCGGGTACATTTTCTTCATCAATGAAGCACCCATCTCATGGTGCTCCAAAAAGCAGTCGGTCGTTGCCTTATCAAGCTGTGAAGCCGAGTACATAGCAGGATGTTATGCCGCATGCTAAGGAATATGGCTTATGGAACTATTAAGGGAACTAAAGTTACTCAGGGAGAGGCCAGTGCAACTGAGAATGGATAATACATCTGCCATAAACTTAGCAAGAAACCCTGTAAGTCATTGCAGGAGCAAACACATCGAAGTCAAGTATCACTTTCTGAGGGACATGGTAAACAAAGGGGAGATTGAGTTAGTCTACTGCAAGACCGAACGACAGGGGGCGGAGCTTTTCACAAAACCGCTAAAAATTGACACATTTGAGCAGTTGAGAAAGGAGATCGAGGTTATATCTCTTAAGGCTTGAATTAAGGGAGAGTGTTACGAGATTATAACTCAAGCCTCCAATTAGTTAGTTTTTTTGTTATTTCTATTACTGTCATATACAGTGTATAAATACACACTGCACCGCTTGTACTTTTTTTAATGCACTCAATACAATTCACTTTCATTCTTTTACTCTCGTTACATTTACATCGTTTGGTCACGTAGTGCTTCCATTACGTCGCTCGGTCATTTCGTGCTCACTTTCACACCGTTCGGTTATAGTTGTTCGGTCACGATCACTGCACGTTCAGAACCACTCGATCAAGGTAATCTCTCTTTCAAAACACTCTTCTCTTCTTTTCTAACAATGATCCCTTGTAAATTGAATGGTATATTAATAATAATTATTTTAAAAATATCCTTAATTAAATATATAAAATGATACAACTATTCATAAATTTTCATTCACGTGAAATTATTTTCTTGAATTGATTTATATTCACTCATCATACCAAATATCTCTAATAACTCTGTATCATTGCATCACAAACAATGATATAAAGATTTCTAAAGTTATGTATGTTTATTATGAATTTGTGATGGATCATATATTATAAGATGGTTGTAAGTACGATTGGTGCAATAAATAAATAAAAATAGGGTTATAAACCCTACACTAATAAAATAAAAATAATAAAAATAAATAAATAAAATTTAAAATAAGGATACCAAAATAAATAAATAAATTAACAAATACAAATAAATGAAATATATAATATATATATATGTTTTGTTTCCTTTATCTTATATTTTTTTAGAACTTGTAAGCTATGGATGACGAATAAGGTAAATAGGAAAAAAAAATTTGGAACTTGTGATGAAGAATTTAGGTAAATAATGAGTGATGTCTTATAGAGAAAATAGTTGGATATTTATAGAGTGATGTGGGTACAGATGATGAAGGTGGAAAATGATAAAACATTAGTGAAATAATTAGATAAAAATAATAAAAAATTATGGGTGGAGTAATTGGATAAAAATAATAAAATGGTTGAAGTAAGTTGAGTTTGTCAAAAATTTGGAAGTGAAAACAAAAAACATTGGATTAGTTGGTGCATTAGAAGGGGAATAAAAATGTAAAACTAGTGAGAGGGGGTTTGAAATCAATAGAGAGAAGAAAATAATAATCCTCATAATAATTTTTTTTACCCCAAATAACATACATAAAATAACATTAATTTTAAAATGTTACACTAACTATGAATATCTTACTTATATAGTAATTGATCTCAATAAAACATGTTTGTCTTATCTTTAGTTAAAAAAACTTTAAATACAATAACTCGTTTAAATGATCATTAAAAATGAATCTTTAATTTTGATACTGAATCAGAGTAAAAAATTATAATAGTATAAGTTGACTGATCTCGTTGATGTTATGGAGACCAATAAATTGAGTAGTTCTAAAATTACATTCATTTAAGACTCGTTTTTAATAATATAATAATATATATTACACTTTTAAAATAAAAAATAGTATACATATGATTAAAATACTATTACTTTTTAATGTCAAATGGATGTAATTTTGCGCTTGTGGTCTCAAAATATCACCACCATCGGAGAAAAAGGTTGACTAAGAAAATAGAGTCTTCAAAGGTGATCGCGAAATCATCTCATTATTCAACGGCAAATTTTGCTCTACAAATGTTGAAATCGTCCTAAGAATTACTGTTTTTTTTAGTGTACTTCATCTAATTTCAAATATCGGTAACCATGTTATTTGTCTTCCATTTTCTCACCATTAACTGTTCATCCGGTAACTTCGTTGTTTTTGGTGATGATAACTAAATTTGATTTTTAATTTTTTTTTATTGGCCTTGGTTGAAGTTGCTCTAAGTTTTCACATCTATGTTGAACTATATGACCTAAATTCATTATTTTTGTTTATTAGCATTAAGTATACGCACTATTATTTATTCCGTCTCCCTATTTTCATACTTTATTATAACCCATTATATTTTTTAAATTTTTTTCAATTAATTTAGAATTTGTGGAGTATTCTTAGGAACATAGAAATTAATCAAACGCAATTTCAGACGTAGATTAAATAATTTTCTAGTAATAACATTTCCATAAATTGCATTTGAAAGAATATAAAATCATAAGTGGAAAGAAACTCCTCCTGAACATGATTTGTTGCAGTATAATATTTTAGGAAATCATCACTGTTCATCACCCCTGCAATAATCTGGAAATGGAGAGAATAGAAGGTTAACGAAGCATACGAGTTTCCCCACTCAGCAATTGACCCTGACAGATTGCTCACAAGTACAACCGTTGTCGTTGACAACAGAGACGGTTGAATCTATAAAAGCCTTCATTCGCCGCATTGCAACTTTTAACGTGGCTTCGGACATGTTGGCAAAACATACCCTAAACCACCCAGGTTCAGAGCAGTGGCAAGAAGAGCCAGGAGATATGTTCAACCCAACATGGCAAAGAATCATCATCCAAAGCTCCTTCTCTGCCTCAAAACTCGCAGAGCTTAACAAATGTCTCATGTCCACCCAACAGAACAACCCTGCATTGCTTTTCAAGCACTGAATCCCTGCGTTTCTCAGACCACAAACTAGCATCTCCATGCGCCTCTTCACTCTCCTCTGATTCTCTTCAATGTAATTAAAAGCGAACTTCTTGTCCTTCAGCACGTTGTCCACCAAATGTTGAGTCTGTGATGAAACCAATCCAAAGCTTGACATTTTTGTTGCGGCGGCCACCACCGTTTCGTTTTCAGAGTAAATCATCCCCACCCTAAATCCTGGTACTCCGAGATCTTTGGAGAGACTGTATATTATGTGAGTACGATTCCGAATGTTGTTGATGCTACTTGTTCTCTCGTTCACAACTTCCATTATGCTCACGAATTCGGGTGGGTCGAAGACCGTGCCCGAGTAGATTTCGTCGCTGATTATGTGAATGTTCTTCTCGATTGCGAAATCAATTAGAAGGTTAAGTTCCGCTTTGGTCATGGTTGTTCCTAGTGGGTTCGAGGGGTTTGTTACTAAGACCCCTTTCACTTTGAGATTCAACTTTTGTGCCTTTTGATAAGCTTGTTTTAAAGCAGAGGACGTGATTCTGAAACCGTTTGAACTTGAGCAATGCAATGGAACAATCTCAACCCCTGTTCTCCATTTCAGATCTCTATCAAACCTATCCAATAGCAATATAAAATTATTTTACACATTTTAGACTAACGGTCAAATATATTTCAATGGTTTAATCATTTTTTTTTATATTTAAGTTTTTTATTCGGTTTGATTTTTATATTTTTTAATTTAATTGAATTCTTAGTTTTAGAAAAAAATAAACACTTAATGAGATCTTTTCCATTACGTCTTAAAATTTAAAATTGTCATTTATCAAAAAATTTAAATGGTGTTAATATTAATTTAATGTTATATATTAAGTCTTTTTAGAAAACAAAAACAAAAAATACAAATATAAAAATCAAAATAAAATAAAAAACTTAAATATAAATGACCCAAATTATTAATTAAGATTATTAGAATATATGATTAATTGAGAAGAGAATTTATACCCGGGATAGTAGGGTGTGGGAAGAATGAAAGCCTCTCCTGGATGAGCAAGGCAAAACATCATAATCTCATTAGCAAGAGTGGCACCAGCGGTAAGGACCAGCTTCTCCGGAGCAAATTTTATTCTATTTCCTCTTATTTTGGACATAAATTCCACCAGTTCCTTCAAGGGACCAAAACAAGTTTACAAACTAATCTTCTATCTTATAATTTCAAATATAAACTCACAAACTTTACAAATTAAATAATATATTTACAAAATTTTATTAAGTATTTTAAGTAATTTTTCCTATCAAATTACAGTTTTACTTCAATTGTCAACCCCATTATTTTAAATGCGTTTTTAATTTTAAATAAGCTTCTTTATCACAACCAAAATAACAGGATATATAAACAACTTCTAAATCACTAATTTGGTTTCAGTATAACATGGTAATTAAATTGATTTTTATATAATTGATATTAAATGAATTTTTATATAATAATAATTAAATGATTTGTGATTAAGATCAATCTCTAATATTTGTTATAAAAAATTTAATTATTTATCGTAATTAGATTTTAAATTAGTTTTAATTAAACTAGTAACTAATTTAATTTTTTTAGAAACTAGTAATTTAATTTTTAAAATCAGATTTTTTTTATATTAGTGATAGATCTTGTGATACAAACTTTCTCTGTACATACAAATATTTAGCTATTTGAAAAATGCTAAATAACTTTTCATTTTGCTTTTATGTATTTTTAAATAACAGTTTCATATTAATTTTAACTCGACCTGTGTTATATAAATATGTTCATACTGTTTTCAATATTAAAAAAAAAATAGAGTTGTTTCTAATTATCTTTTAATTAAACGACTCTAAAGTGTAGTCACACCATTTGTACCAAAGATTTATGTCTCTCTCTTTTTTATTTTTTTGTTGACTGTTTTTCTTACGCTGATGACTCCATGATCAAGTACAAATAACCAAAGCAGCGCAAACATGCTACGTTGTACGCGAGAAAAGTCTTCGCATGATTATATGTAAGAAAACGGTGCACTTCTATAGGACATAGTTTTAAAGAAAAAAATTTAGATACAATATTACGCTTTTTCCTTTTTATTTTGAGTGGATTTGAGAAAGTGAATATGAGACGATTTGAAGATAATTTTTTTTGTCGTTATTTTTAGCGAATTTGGAGGTAAATAAGAGTTAAAAATAGAGTTTTATTGTAATGATGTTAAAAGAAAAAGTTGTCAAGTTATTTCTAATTTTATTAAGACAATAACTCTAAAAATACTTATAGAGTGTTGTACCTCGGTTTTTGTATTTATTCAGTTCAATTTTTCTAGGCATACTTCAAACTAATGAACAGAGAATACAGCAACACAAAACACTATGTGTTGATTTCACAATGTTTGTAACATTTTCTCTTCGTTTCACTATTCATAACTTATTATCTTGATCAAAATATAAATTATTAATCAATAATATTAAAAAAAATCATTTAAAACTTTTCATTTTTCTTAATGTAATAATAATTATGGTGTGTTTATAATTGATTATATCATGTTAGACCAAGCTTGGATTTTACTCACTTCCACATATAATTCATACAGTAGATAATCAAGTGTTTCATATTGTTTTGAAAAAACTTGACCTTTCAAAAATAATGAATTATTTCTAACAATAATTAATTATGTTAGGTTTTGTTTCTTTTAAAAAAATTTCGCATCACATCCACTGATGATAAATTAAACTAAGTAATAATCAATTATATTATGAAAAACATAATCAATTATATAATCGATTATATCATTAAGTTACTTAAAAACTTCTTTTTCCTTTTCAGACATAATTTCACATCTTTCAAATTCAAAGAATAAAAATGGTGTAAATTATACACATGTTACAATTTTAACTTTTGAAACAATATAACATTACTTTTCACTTGAAATTATCAAGGAAAGTTTAATATATATATTTGAAAAAGCTCACATAAAATATCAAATTTGTTTATTATATTTCATACTGATTCTCTTAAACTTTTTTAAACATAATATAGATAAAACCATAAGGTTATGTTTTTTTAAGTAAAAATAGAAAATATACCCATTAGAATTGAACTAATATAATAGATATAAAAAGGTTGGTTATTGCAATTATGACAATCAGTGAAAAATATGCGCCGTGGTAAAAATATAATAAATTATAAAATAATTATAAAAATAAATAATTTATATAATCTTTTTATGTAAATAAATTTTTATTATAAATAATTATTTGAATATAAAAAAGTAGTCATTAAAATGATGAAATTAGAAAATATTTTGCATTATGAATAATGATTTGAATTTAAGAAGATAGTTACTAAAGGATAAAATTAAAAAAAAAATATTGGAAAAAAATCATTTCCCTATATTTTTGTGTTTAAGTAAAAGTTAAGTCTCACTCACACATTCAATGCCAAAAAAATAACAGTAAATTTAATCAATAATATTAAATATGTTACTATTTTAATATAACTATTTTAAATTCTCACTAATTCTATTTTCCTTACAAACGTATACTAAAAAAACACATAAAAACCTAATTATAAAAGGAAACAAAAATTACCACCCCCATTTCCTTATTAAGGAAAATACTTGTGTGTTACCTTTTTTAAAGCAGGTAATCCATGATAATCTTGGAACAGAGCAAGCTCTCTAAATACAGATACTCCATCTTGCTTCATCCCCACAATTTCAGGATTTCTCTCAAGCCATGATTCAAGAAGGTCAAATGAAAGCTGCAAATTAAGAGATTTCAGCAAAAAATTGTTGAATAGCTATACCTACAGAATGAATAATATGTTTATATATATATATATATATATATA